TTCCCTTTCATTGGCACATATTCTCTTTTTTCTTCTTCTATTAAAGCAACAGATTGTGCATTAAAGTACAATCTTACTTTACTTATTGCGAGGCATAAAGAGCTGCCTTTCTCTGATTTTCAAGTAAATTGAAATATAGGCAAATTGAAAACTCTGTAATTAACGAACAGATAATTACTTATAGCTTGGAATGAAGAACTGCATTTCATAAAAACATGGCATGGGTTACGATTGTACTAAGAGTAGCTAGCTCACCTTGAACCATTTTATTTCTTCTTGTAGCTGGAGAGCAGGGCCGGGCTTGGTTCCTCCGCTGTAGTGCTTCACGTGTGCAACTTGGTGCAACAATGTGAAGCCATTATTATCTACGCTCGAACTCAGCCTGGTCACTAGTATGTTCTTTTTCTTTACAAGACGGAAAATCTCCCGCCGTCGATGCATCACGGCCACATGCAATATGTTCTGCCCCTCATCATTAACAAGCTCAATACTCTGAGGAAATTTATCAAGTATCTCTTCAGCAATCTCCACTATTCCATTAGTAGTTGCTATAAACAACGGGTTTGGAGGTGAAGGAGGCCTCTCTTGTTTTTTATTTTCTTCTATCTTTGGATAAACATTTTCATTATTTTCCACCTCTCCTACTCCCCCTCCTTTTCCAGTGTCCACTCCTTCTCGTGCTCCGTCTTGTCCTTCCCCTCCTCCTCCTGGGTTTCCTCCCCCTCCTTGTCTTTCACTTTGTCCTCCTCTTCCTCCTTGACCAGGGGTCTCGATATTAACTTTGGAAGGCTTCACTTTGATAGATTGCCACCATTTACGCTGGTTCTTTTTTATAAGCTCCTGGGCAAGTTTCAATGCAGATTCATGCTTGTGCTTTTCTTTCTGGATTCTTTCCACCACTGGCCATCCTATCATGTTTCTTCATATGTGAGATATACACTGAGAGAGCTAGCTATAATGAATTTTCTGCAAATATGAACAGAGTATACAGGAAAATATACAAAAGTTCAACTTTGGTGAGAAGTGTACGAGTTTCTACTCCTATGTCACTTTTCCGGAGTTTCCCATATAGAAGGCTGCGGAAAAATTATTCACACAGCGGCTGCTGACTGTTGCTCTCTGTATGTATGTATGTATGTATGTATGTATGACTAGTATCACAAAAGGATTTCTGTTCTGGCTTCTCCTATTCTGTCAGATGATTTTATTCCTCAACATGCCTTCGCAAGTTGAATATGGAGAAGGCACCACATTCAAATACGATCGATGGAATGCAGAGCGCGTTGATGAATGAGGTCTGGTAAGCACATCAACAATTTGATCAACAAATGATATGAACTGATCCTAGAACTCTGTACGAGTGACCATATCACGGAAAAAGGGAAAATCAATTTATACTTGCTCGATTTTAAAACTACAAGAACCAGGGAGCATCATCAGTGCAAAATTATTATTATCAATTTAATAGTTAGGTTGTCCAAGATGGCAAAATAGTTTGAATCTTCAGTACCTTTTTTACTACGGCTCTGGTCGCCATCACCCTTTTCGGCGGAAAGGCCTGCGAAAAACTCACACCTTAAGTCAAATCAACCCTTCTGGGATTTAAAGCAGTGTAAGCAATTTAACATGCTCCAAGAAAAGGAAAAAAAAACTCGAAAAGCAGTCTTTAATCAGCCGTTTAAACAGCTAGCCTTTGAGAGCAGATGTTCGAGCTGGGGTTAAATTATATACGCTGATCAAATAAATAAATAAATAGAAGAAAAAATGTTGCATCAAACATACAACGGTAGAAAAAGTTCGTAAAGGTAATTGGGCGCAGTGCATGTCCACTCTTGAAAGCACTAGGCATCCCAGCAAGGACATGAAGACAGGTCATTCCCTGATTGTCCTTCATTTCATGAAGTGATGGATCCAGTTTCAGCAACGTCAGAGCAGTGTCTGCATTAGAAAGTATAATGTCATTTTACTTTCTTTTTTTTCCTAATAAATTGTAGATTTAAGTTGTACCTAAAGTGTTTGGTGATGAATGTGTGTGCTAGATGTCTTAAGAGTCTCGTTTGAGAGAGAATAAAAGGATTAAGAACAGAACCAAAGTGTTGTCCTTGGATGGCAGCATGAAGAATCGGCTTTGAATCTTCTCTCTTGCTGTGATCCTCTGATAGCTTTCCCTCTGAGATTTGGCCAGTTTGTCGAGCTAAATACTTCACTATTTCATTCTTACCACATGCAGCAGCTCTATACAATGGAGTCTCCCCAAGCGCGTTTTTAGTCTGAAGTTGCATTGAAAGATCATATTCACCGTGGAGTAAGTGCTCTACTGCTTCCATATTTCCAGCAAAAACTGCTTCATGAAGAACTGTATTTCCATACGCGTTCTTTTTTGTATAGGGATCCCCGAGCACTGGATTTTTTTTGGCAATATCGAGTAGAGTTTGAAGCGGCTTAATCTTGTTGCTATACACTGCCAGGTGCAATGGAGTATCTTCCGAAACCGTTACTGGAGACATCACGTACATATCACTGCTGCCACTGCAAGCACGTATCATCCTATCCCAGTCTTCTTCCAAGGCTGCTAGGTAGACATCCTTCGCTACAGTTATATATGTCCCCATTTGGCCTTCTCTCTTCATTTTTCGTCTACCTTAAAGTTATCTGCAATTGCATTCATTATTAATTAGGAGCGAGCTCGTAATGCTACGTGCGTTCTTGTTTCCAGCATACTCTTCATTGAAAACATTAAGTAAACAAAAAACAAATAATTTAGAAGACTGTTAAGGGTGGAGGGCTTGGCGGATTAACATCTATAAATTGAGTGCTAAGCAATTTACTGAGGATGTTTCAAAATTTATTAACAATCAATTAATCCATTCGTTAAGTACTCTGTCGAACTCCTCACCAAGTGCCAATATCTAACTCGACCTCTAATCTTAAAAAGAAAAATCGATGCCAAATTAATACAAGGAAATTCTTAAAAAGAACTTATCAATTTCTAAAAAAGTTGGGCTAATCCCTTCTTCTTGTTTTTTTTTTTTAATAATATAGACATTAACAAAACAACAAAAAGACAGGGGAAGGTTGAATAGTGAAACGACTGACTCTTTTTTTCTCTCATTTTCAAACTTTTTTTTCTTTCAATTGTTCCCTTTTATAATCTAATTAAATGAATTAAGCTTGAAATCATAGTAAAAAAAATTATATGTAAAGATAGAGGACTAGCATATAAAATATGAAAAAAAAATTGTTAATCACATGCTAATGATGCTTTTTGTACTGATCAAAAAGTTTATTTTTTTTATTTTTCAATCTCATGACTTGAGAGAAAAAAAATTAGTTTAAGAATAGTAAAGAGAGAGAAAATAGTTATAATACCAACTCAACCAATCATGAAAAGTTTTAACTTTAGTGTTAATTAATTTCAATTCTATTCCATTATAGTGAATACAAAAAAGTTAAAAAGAGTTTATTTTCTTTTCACTTATTAATTTTATTAAAATAATATTTTTACCCTTCGAATTAAGAAAAATTAAGCCATGTATCCCGGGGTATTTTTTTTCTTTTCACATATGTTTTTTTATATATATAATTTCACAAGCATGGAGGGCAATTTGATTTTTTCACTTGATAAATTAATATTTAAATCTAAAAGTTGATAGTGCATGCAATATAGGTGCCTGCCCCTTTTATGGACATGTGCAATGCTCGATGACCATACTTACCTTTCTATTATGTTGTTGGAAGCATCATTACATCCTTTTTCTTTTGATGCGATGCAAGGAAAGAAGTGAAGCATGCAGGAAAAAAAGCAACCATGTATATAATTCTATATTGATCATCGTAGTTACAAGCACAGCTACAAATGAAAGGGAAAACCTTGACACCGAGCATTATAACACACGGCTTTACTAGAGCAAATCTTCACTCTGAGAATGCATTGACGAAATGATTTAAACAAGTTAGGAGCAAGTATATATTCTTACCTAGCTCAGCCTATCCTTCACAATGTCGAATCGTCAGGTTCGCTTCTTTGCGCCTCTGGCTTTCCTCTCCTCATTAATCTTCTAGTCCCACAGACTTTTGAATCCTGATAAATTCTGCGACGTTACAGCTTTAGAAAAGGATAGATCACTTTATAACCTGGTCCCCTTCTGCTCACACCTCCCCCGGAAAAAAAAAAAAGGCCTCAAGACAAAAAAACAAATAAAAAAGAGTAGTAGAGTTGACTGGGATCGTGCAATCTTTTATTTAGCTCAGGGAATAGGTTTGGCTAACCTCGTGCATGTATCTTAGCAGCCAGTTTAAAAATTGGGTAGAAATCCTCGTAAGAGTGTTTGGCCCCTTAATTTAAAATTTTTCTTTTATTTTAAAGAAAAGGCAATTAAATTCACTAACTAAGTGTTTCATAATGATTTTAACACTATATAACTTAATTTTTGACAATAGAGTGTGATTTAATTTAAAAACATGTTGAGTTCTCCATAAAAGAAGAAGAAAAAAACAGAAAAGGCAGAGATGAGTCTTAATTAAACTATTTAGTATTTCTGTTTATAAAAACACCCAAAGAATTACCTTTTATTATTTAAAACATAAATTCATTTTACTAATAATAGTATTCTTTTTTTTCAACAATTTATTTTAATTTAAGAAATCTTTGGATTTAAGTTTTATCCTTAATAGCAATTTCAATTCATATAAAACAACTCCAAATTACCACACGTTTAGGTGACTTTACTCACTGTAGAAAGCAAAAGTACTATGTTTAATTTGAAAAATATTTAATTGATTTTTTTAGTATTTTTTTATTGTTTCAATATGCTAATATTAAAAATATAAAAAATTATTTAAATATATTTTTAAATAAAAAATTCTTTTAAATTATATAAAAAAAAACAGAAATTATCAGAATATCAAACTTTCACTATAGTATTTTAGATTGTTTTTACTATCTGTTTATGAGATGATGACAACTTTATAGATTATTTATTAATTAATGAATAAAAGGAACGTGAAAGCATCGTTACGGGAACAACGAAAAAATCCTTCATTTAACTTATTACATGACATATACCTTTGATTTTAGATTATTTATTAATCAATAAATAACAATGCACATGTTTTCTCAACAATGCACATGTTGTAAGAAATGAAAAATAACAATAGCTTGACTTAACTTTTTTTATTTTTTATGGAAATAGCTTGACGTAGTTAACATTAATGGCTTTTGACTTAGTTTTGAATATTTCAGTCACCACCGTACCATATTTTTACTATGAAGTTGGAATTGGAATATGTTCCTTTCATATTGAATGCCTCACGTGGTGATGAGTTTTTCAAGATACGCTGGAAATTAGTATTTTTTAGGTGGTTTTCGAGTAAAATAATTTATTTTTTAATATTTAATAATATTATAAAAAATAGGTTAAAAAATACCTTGTAAGTATTTAGTTATATTATGTAAAATGAGTTGAAAAATAATTTATTAAAATTTTGATTTTTTTTAAGTTTATTAAAAAAATAGAGACCAAATATAACAAATAAAAAAATTAAAACATAATGAAATTAAAAAAATTAAGAGCTTAAAATAAAAATAAAAATTATTATTTTATTATAAATAACTATTTTACAATTAAATAGAAACTTTTTATTATAAGAAGTTCAACTTTCTAAGTTTAGAACCTATTTGATAGTATGATAACTATTTTACAATTAAATAGAAACTTATTATTATAAGAAGTTCAACTTTCTAAGTGTTTACGGTAAAGATTAATTTTTAAAATATTTTTGTAAAAATAGGTCAAAATAATTTTTATATATAAAATGAAAATAGTATTGAATCTATTAATTGTTAACAATAAAATACTAGTCTTAAGATCATTGTAATTCATTTTCTATAACTTCTCTGAAAAACTATATTTTCAATCAAAATATTTGGATTTTTTTAAAATCAAATAGTTTTAGTAGTTCTCTACATACAAGTGTTTAATTTTTTTTAATAAATCAGAATTAGTCTCTCTTTTTTTCAATAAGATACAGCATTCATTTATTATTAGTTTTTGTGGGTTCAATAGAATATAGATGTTTTCTTAAATTGTGGGTTCAATAGAATATAGATGTTTTTTTTTTTTAAGATACGTTTTCAATCAAAATACATGTTTTTTAAGTAACTCTTTTAAGGTTTTATCAAAAAACATGTGTTTAATTTTTAATACAGAAATTAATTTAATTTATTATTTTTAATAAGACATGTTATTAAATTAATGGTCTTAATTTATTGACAAAAGACTTATATATGAGAAAAGCCACATCGCGCGGTTTAACAACTAATTATTTTATATATTATAAACTTTTATTTATTCAATGACCGGAGTTGGGGTATGATATATATAGCATGTCCATGTATAATTAAAAGACCGTGCATTTTATATTATTTGTTGTTAATTAATTAATCAGTAACATGGACGCTTACAATTGACTTATCATGTGTTTTCGAGAACACACATGTGCAGCTCTTACTTTGAAATTTCCATTAATAGCTTGACTTCATTTTTAGTCTTTTTCTTATTATTATTATTTTCATTCACCATTCCTGGATAGTGCAACTTTTTAGATTAATAATTAATAGCTTGACTTTGGTTTTAGTCTCAATTAATAATTAAAGGAGAAGCGAGAACATTGTTTAAAAATATCCATTGTAATAGGGTTTTATTGAGAAATTGAAGGAAAGAAATTCTTAAAAGTCCTTCTAATTCACCATATATAATGAAATATTCTAATCCTTTTGTAATTGAACTTTATTATTAAAAAACTACCATCCTAATTAAAATTCAAACTAAATATAATGAAAAGTTATAAAATAATTGAGGATAAAGATAAAAATAATTTTAGATAAATTTAAATTAACTTATATAAATCATATTTTAATTTATAAACACGACTAGTCGTAAACACGAGTCCAATGAAATAGTCTTGGATGAGTAAGATGTATCTTTTTTCTTCATTTCTTATTTTTTTTTCTTGTTGGAGCTTCGTTGGACCTTAATTAACATGGAGTAAGATGATATCTGAGACGAAATTAAATAATTATGAATTAAAGTATCGTGTGTTATCATGATCCCTTCCGAATGGACAACAAGATTAACATTTATCACCGTCTAAAAAGTCAACAGCCCACATATACTCTTAAATTTTTCGAAATCAACTAGACTAGGATGGGATTATTTCAATGGCACCGATATCCATAAATCTCTTAAAAAATATGTGATAAATTATTAAACATGTTAAAAGATCCATCCTATCTTTCATCAAAATATAAAGTTTATTTTTAAAATAATTCTTCATATTTCTTAGATTATTAGTTTTTCTTATCTATCCTTTTCTTCCTCGAAATAATTATTTATTTCCTGACATAAAATTAAATGTAGAATCTAAAATTTATATTAATAATAAATCTAATATTTTTAATGAAATAGCGTAACATCATTCTAATAATATATAGCCTAATCCCAGAGACATTGGATTCCTCACCTCTCTTCTATTAATTTGTCATAGTTCACCTCAACCTCCGTGTTTTTCCCTCCTTCCCACAACCGAATACTTTTGGATTTTTTTAAAAAAAGTAGTGCATTCAGTTAAAGATTTTGATAAAATATTTTTTTTTA